ACGGGGAGATTTGGGGGGGATGGAGAGAGGAAGGGAAAAGGGAACAGCACTCCAACGTTCACGTGCCGCAGTGCTAGTTGGGTGCCTTCTTTTTTTTTTTCTGCCTTGATCCTCAATCTTCTTCACTCCCGCAGCGGGGCCGAACATGTGCCTCCTACTCCCCCTTCTTGGTTTTCTTTTTCTTTTGTTTCCTCTGCCTTCGTCGCTGCGCCCACCGCCGCCCCACGACTCCGCAGAAACGTGAAACGAAAAAGAGGGGTGGCACGCTCCAGTCGACGATGTTTTGGGCAACGCATCTTGTTGCTTCCTCTCGTGGGTGGGGGAAAAGTATCGCCCCGCCCCCTGAAGGAAGCAGAATATGCAAATAAACAAACGTAGTGGAAAAAGCATGAGGGAAAAAAAATAAAAGGTAAGCTGAAGTCACGGCCATGTGCGTCACCTTCCCCACCCTCCCCAGGCCACTCATACACACACCCTTACACAGACACACACGCACACAGAGAGAAGGATGATATTGTCCGCGCATTAAAGGAGCAGCTCAAGAGCTCACGCGGCAGCTGCTGCCGCTGCAGAAGCCGCAAGAGCTCCGCGATCCTTGAATGCCTCCAACACCTCCGGGTACGCCACAACGTAGTACGTTGTTCCATAATGCATGTTTCGAAGCTCCTTAATCTCCAGGCGTGATTCCCGCAAATAGTCTCGAATCGGTGAATTCCACTTGCACCCATGCGTGTTCACCGTATGGCGCTGCTCAAAGTAGCCCAGGAACCAGTTCACGGGGGGGTACGGGCTGCTGCCGTGCTCGAGAAGCAGGATAAGGCCGCTTGGCTTTACAACGCGCTGCATTTGCCGAAGCGCCTTAACAGGGTCATGAAGGTGACAAAGCCCAAACATATCTACCACACAGTCAAACTCGCCATCGGCAAAAATGTCTAGATTCTCCGACCGTACGCGGCGCACATCGTACTTGGGGTACGACGTACGTGGAATGCGGTATCGCAGGGCCTGCAGCTGTTGTGCGTTGGAATCGCACATCACAACCTCGTGCACCGCGTAGGGGTAGGCTCCGATGTTTTGCCCATGCCCCGCGGCAAGCTCCAAAACTTTACCGTAGGTCTGCTGCAGCAACTCCTCGCGTAATTGGCGAATCTCCCGCGGTTGCTCAACCCACACACGGACAAACGTGAGCACCGCCCCCGCGACGGAGACACAGACCAGGACAATACCCCACGTTCTTAGGCGCTCCTTCAGTGGACGCTTCTCGCGCTGCAGTCGAAAGTACTCCCGCTGTTGGTAATACTCATGATGCCAAAACGGCTTTACATGCTTTGGAATATCATCTGTGTAGTCGTAGAAATTTTGCTTCCCCTTCGACAAAATCGGCGAGTACGTTGTATCCCACTGCCACACAACCGCCTCGGGCTTTTTGTCGCGGCCCTCGCGCCGCAGTGCGTGCCGAGCGTACTCCAGCACCACGTCATCCGACGGCTCCAGGAATCCGCCCTTCTTCTCCACGCCGGTGTCTGTGCCCGCGACGGAGAGAGCCCCGGCGGGGTCGCCCGTCACCTTTTCTTCTGCCTTCGGGGGGTTTGACTTTCCCTCCTGGCCCGACCGCGTGCTGCACCACCTGGAGGAAATCGTCGCCGTCAACGCGGCCCCCGAGCGGGCGGGGGGCAGGCGACGGAAGAACATGGGCGATTCACGGCTCCTACCACACTATCGTCAACCTCGTTCCTTCACGCCCACGCGGGCGGAAAACAAGGAGAGAGGGGAGGGAAGAAGAAAGGTAGCACGCAGCAACAAGAAGAATCAGCAGGGCGTGCACTGATTTTGTCTCTCCACTGCTCCTGCGGGGAACGAAACTACACGGCCCACAAGAAGAGGAAGAAGAGGAGGGGAAGGAATAAGGGAGTAATCCGCAGTCAAGTTCCCCATTGTTTCCCCTCGAGGGAGTGGAGGGGCTCTTGCCCTTCCGTGTTTGCTTGCTTGTTTGTGTGCTTTTCTTTCCTTTTCTTTTCCAGGCAGTTGTTGTGTCCGCCAACGCAGGGTGCAACAACGGTGAAAAACGAACAGCACAGAGAGCGAGATATATATATATATAGCGGCAACTCGAATGATTGCCTCGAAGAGGGAAAAGGAATACACACGTAGAAAGAAGGAAGAGTAAAAAAAGGGGGGGAGTGAAGGAAGAAACGGGGGGATGTGGCCAGTACGCCGCCGGATTTGCCCTCCC